CGCCGCAGTCCCGCATCTGAGCTGCCCGCTCGCCCTGCGGCGTGTTATTAGCAATGGCTTGGAAATCATAGCAGAAAGGCACAAATAAATCACATATGGGCGGTTCGGGCCTGCTGGCAGGTTCAACGCTGGTTTGTACCGTCTTGTTTTCACACTGCTGCCGCTTCTGTCACTGCCAGCTGCCAGACGGCTGGCTTTCCCCCCTCCCGAGGCTTGCACAGCTTGCACAAAGGAAGTACTTAAAAAAAAATGGACTAATTGCCTGTAGTAAAGTGCACTTATGTCCCAGGGATCAGTCTGCAAAGGGCAGGCAGGGCTCAGCTGAAATCTTGACAGTCCTACGGTTCATCTACAGGATGGGGCAGGATCTGAAAGTGAGCTGGTGCCACCTGAGGTCTCCCTGCCTGCTCAGACACCCAGCACGTAATGGGATTTGCAAGCTGCCCCCAGGAGGTGAAAGCTCCTTAGCAGGAAGAAGCACTGAAGCTCCCAGGAAAGTCAGAACAGTCCCAAAAGCACATGCTTTGGGTACGGTAACTTTTCTTACGTTCACGCCAGGGCAGAAGCACGGGGCTGCAGCGCCTGCTCAGCGTGTCAGGCAAGAGCCAGCAGCACGGCTACCTAAAATGGGCTTCCCAGATGATGCTTTTAGCAACAAAAGGAAGCACGTTCAGGCCCTGTGCATTTGCCAGAGTCTATATACAGCAGAGAACATATGCAAAATACCTGCTCTCATCTCTAAAACTCCATTGGCACTGCAGTTTCTCATCTCCTTTAGCCCAGAGAGGCGGCCAGAGCATCAGTTGTGCAAAAGGAGCTAACCAGGGTCAGCTGTGCCTCTTGCAGGGATGCTAACCACTCCGGGAGGGCAGGACTTTGCGGTGCGCAAAGGACGAGCTGTTCAGGGCAGCAGCCAGGGACCTGCTGCACCGTCCTGATGACGTGCTCTGGCCTGTTTCTCTGTGCCTTCCTGCTCTAAAAGGCATCACAAATGGAAAAGGTACCGTAGAGTCAGGAAGCATTAACCTCCCATTCAAAGGCTGCAGGTTTTCCCAAGCTGAGCGCACAGTGCCTGGCTCGCTTTCCTCCACGGAGGAACCAACTGCTTCTTAC